AATGGACAAAAACTGGAAGCATTTCTTTTGAAAATTGGCACTAGACAAAAGTGCCCTCTCTCACCATTCCTATTCAACATAGTATTGGAAATTCTAGCCGGGGCATTCAGGCAAGAAAAAGAAATAAAGAGTATTTAATTAGGAAAAGAAGAAGTCAAATTGTCTCTTATTTGAGGATGACATGATTGTATATTTAGAAGACTCCATCATCTCAACCCAGAATCTCCTTAAAATGATAAGTAACTTGAGCAGTCTCAGGATACAAAATCAATGTGCAGAAATCACAGGCATTCCTATACACCAATAACAAACAAACAGAGAGCCAAGTCATGAGTGAACTTCCATTCACAATTTCTACAAAGAGAATAAAATACCTAGGAATACAACTAACGGAGGACGTGAAGGACCTCTTCAAGGAGAACCACAAACCACTGCTCAACCCAATGAGAGAGGACACAAACAGATGGAGAAATACTCCATGCTCATGGTTAGGAAGAAACAATATTGGGGAGATGGCCATAAAGCCCAAAGTAATTTATACATTCAATGCTATCCCCATCAAGCTACCAATGACCTTCTTCACAGAACTGGAAAAAACCATCTTAAACTTCATATGGAACCAAAAGAGAGCCTGCATAGCCAAGTCAATTCTAAGCAAAAAGAACAAAGCGGGAGGCATCACACTACCTGACTTCAAATTATACTACAAGGCTACAGTAATCAAAACAGCATGGTACTGGTACCAAAACAGAGATGTAGACCAATAGAATAAAACAGAGGTCTCAGAGGCAACGCCACACGTCTACAACCATCTAATCTTTGACAAATGTCACAAAAACAAGCAATGGGGAAAGGAGTCCCTGTTTAATAAATGGTGTTGGGAAAACTGGATAGCCATGTGCAGAAAGCAGAAACTGGACCCCTTCCTGACACCTTACACTAAAATTAACTCCAGATGGATTAAAGACTTAAACATAAGACCTAACACCATAAAAACCCTAGAAAAACCTAGGCAAAACCCATTCAGGACATAAGCATAGGAAAGGACTTCATGACTAAAACACCAAAAGTATTGGAAACAGAAGCCAAAATAGACAAACGGGACCTAATTAAACTCCAGAACTTCTGCACAGCAAAAGAAACAATCATTAGAGTGAATCAGCAACCAACAGAATGTGAAAAAAAATTTTCTACCCATCTGACAAAGGGCTAATATTCAGAATCTACAAAGAACTAAAACAGATTTACAGGAAAAAAACAAACAAACAAACAAACAACCCCATTCAAAAGTGGGCAAAGGATAGGAACAGACACTTTACAAAACAAGACATATATGCAGCCAACAAACGTATGAAAAAATGCTCATCATCACTGGTCATTAGAGAAATGCAAGTCAAAATTACATTGAGATATGATCTCATGCCAGTTAGAATGGCGATCATTAAAATATCTGGAAACAATAGATGCTGGAGAGGATGTGGAGAAATAGGAACACTTTTACACTGTTGGTGGGAGTGTAAATTAGTTCAACCATTGTGGAAGACAGTGTGGCAATTCCTCAAGGACCTAGAAATAGAAACTCCATTTGACCCAGCAATCCCATTACTGGGTATATATACAAAGGATTATAAATCGTTCTACTATAAGGACACATGCACACGAATGTTCATTGCAGCACTGTTTACAATAGCAAAGACTTAGAACCAACCCAAATGTTCATTGATGATAGACTGGACAGGGAAAATGTGGCACATACACACCATGGAATACTATGTAAAAAGGATGAGTTTCTGTCCTTTGTAGGGACATGGATGAACCTGGAAACCATCATTCTCAGCAGAGTGACACAAGAACAGAAAATCAAACACTGCATGTTCTCACTCATAGGCCGGTGTTGAACAATGAGAACACATGGACACAGGGAGGGGAGCATCACACACTGGGGTCTGTGGGGGGAACTAGGAGAGGGACTGTGGGGGGTGGGGAGTTGGGCAGGGATAACATGGGGAGTAATGCCAGATAGAGGTGATGGGGAGGAAGGCAGCAAACCACATTGCCATGTATGTACCTATGCAACAGTCTTAGATGCTCTTCACATGTACCCCAAAACCTAAAATGCAATATATGTGTGTGTGTGTGTATATATACATATATATATACACATATATATATGTATATATACACATATTATATATATATATATAATGAATGAGAGGTGATTGAATTTGGTGTGGATGTTTTAAATATTCTTTTTAAAAGTTCGCGTTTTGAATTTTCAGGATAATTTACAAGCTAATTTGAAGTAGTGGTATCCAGAGCTATTAATATGTAACTAATTTTAATGACAAATCAATTTCATAATAAATGGAGTTTTATCTCTATATAAGACACATACTTAAAAATGAATTTATGGTTTTAAGAGTTGTATCATGTCCTAGACAGTCAGAAACAGTCATTACAACAGCTTCAAGTCTAGCTAATAAATTAAGAGTTTCTAATACTGAAAAACCACAGCCACCAGGTTTGCAATAACCACTCACAAGATCTCTCGGCAAGGAATGAATAGCTATCTGGAAGCCTAAAGTAAGTTGAGAATGTTTGTACCGTGGTTTTGCTCAATAAAGGAGCAAAACATAGGTTGACAGTTCTAGACCAGGAAACAATGAGCAGTTCATGGAATAGGGAGTTTAATGTAGTGCTGGAAGTAAGGTTAGAAAAAGGTAAATTAGCATAGTTTGTGAAGAATCTTGCTGTATGCTAAGGACATTATTCTTCAGCCAAGGGGAATATTAATGAAGGGACAGGACTGGATGTACATGTCCAGCAATCCTGAAAATTTTGAAGAGTTGACTGAGGTCTCAAGTGGACTGAGTTCTGTTTCCCAGCAAAGCAACTGAGGCCTGCTGTCCTGGCAAAACCACACAGCAGCCTTGGAATAGGCCTGTGGAAAAAATAATTGAACAGATCAGCTTGTGAGAGGATATTAAAAGCCTTTTGAAATCATTTTTTAGATAGCTTTTAAACTGATATGCATGGTACTTTATGCAAGGTGGTTTTATGAAGTATTTGATTAACTATATTCTTGAAGAAGAACTTGTCAGATATAAAAATGATTTAAAATAAAAGTACTTCATGTCATCTTTCCTTTCAATCTCTACATTTTATTGATCTTTCAACAAAAAGAATGTTCCTATATGTTAGTAATTAACACCATAACACTGTATCTGTACATCCAAAACAAAATGGATAATTAAGATATAATTTAGATTAATTTAGCACAAAAAATACTTTGCCTGAAATCTCTGTGAAAGAGATAACAGAGAGATATATATTTCTTGAATCACTACTATCTTATTTTTTTTCACTGTGCTTTGAAGTATAGACAGTAACCACACTCAGAAGGTTCAGCTAAAGATTATATGCAGATGTACTATGCAAATGTTATAAATCTACTTGAATTGTGAGATGTTTCATCTCATTGTGCACATCATAAGCCATGTTATTTCAGTTTAATTTGCTGTTCTGTTTCCATGGTAATTATAGATTGGGAAAATGGGTAAAAAAAAAAAAAGATATATTTCAAGATAAGCAAAAATGGAAAACACGTTGTGTTTGTTTTTGTGTACTAATTTACAGATGCCTCACTTAACTTTTTGCTATTTGTAGGCATAGCTTTGAAAATGTTTACATAATATGAAACAAGTCTATATAAATTAGATAGTCTTTGAATAAGACCAGAGAAAATAATGTGAAATTTTTTTAACTCTGTTAAATTACACTATGAAGGCTTTGAAAATGGTTAATCAATACCTGTGGAGAATTTGAACCATTAGTAAAAATAAAACATTTCATTTATTATTTTTTATTTTGATGGGATTTTAGTTTTGATGGTCTTTGGTAATTTTATTACAGTTTCATGAAAGATATTTATTTAATCCCAAACAGCCCATATCGTTAGGACCCTTTTCGTAAAACTGTAGGATAAATTGGTTTGTTATTTGTTTTATTATCCATTTGCTTAGTCAACAAACCAAAATTCAAAATCTCAATGTTATTTTTTTCAGTCTCATTTTAGTACAAACAAATTCCACGCTTATATGACTTTCATTGAAATAGTAGGGTTTTTAAGTCAAGAAAATCTGGCTTTGTGTCCAAAATCTAGACATCACTTCCTACCAATTTATTCTGATTTTAAAAGTAAACAATTAGATGAATAATTGAATTTTTAAACCTTAGGCTTCTCATCTGCGGATGGTATCTACCATATTAGGGTTATTTTGAAGATCAAATTAGTTTAAAAAAATAATACGTAATCTTTACTAAACATTTACTATTTGCCAGGCATCATTTTCTAAGTGTTTTAGACGTATTAATCTTTCAACTCTCATAACATCACTTTTTTAAATGAGAAAATTAAAGTCACAGAGAGATAAGTTTACCTGCTGAAGGTCACACACACAACTAGTAACTGAAGGAGCTTAGGAGATGATATAAATTGAAAGCATGTTATAAATTATCAAAATCTATAGAAATGAGAGTTATTCAAAGACTTGTTTTGCATAAAAAAATAGTATAATTCTGTTAAGAAAGCCAATGAGGTTAAATGTAAAAGAGAACAGAAAAAGAGTATCTATTTAGAACTGTCTAGGACAGCAGTGTTAGCGGTTTAGAAATTTTTCTCAAACTGCTTTATGTTATTTAAATAAATGACAAAAACATACAAAAGTATAATACAGAAAGGGAAGCAATATAGGCAATAAGGATTGCAAAATATTTTTAACAATTATTAAGTTTTCTTCTTCATTTTTAATCATTCTGAGTCCTTTAAATGAAATAGAAATTATTCATCAGGAAAGTCATACTCAAAGAAATGCCCAGGTAACAAGCCCAAACACTTTGTTGTGTTTTCCCCCAGTCAGACACCTGAGAAATTAAAATCCTTAGCTACATAACTAAACATGTGTCCTTGGTAGAAACAACAACCATTTCTTCTCTTTTAGACTTAGTCAAGATTGTGAGCCAAATACAAGCGCAACGCCTCCCTTGCCACCTTTGACATTACAAATCAAAGAAATGACAAGTCCTTTGATTAGTGACGATGAAGTATTCCCACTGGTGAGTTACTGGTTGTAGCCTTTTTTGTCTTTAATGGGTTATTGCTTTACTCTTAAACTGATGTTGGTACACTGATGTACATAGTAGTTTGTTGGTTTTTAATCTTACTCCTTGAATAGGACTCCAAGTTGGGTCTGCGAGTCATTTGGCCATACCTATCTATAGAAGGAAAAGATACAGATTATGTTCCATAAAGTATTTCTGTCAATGGTTATTAACCTCTAATACAAGCCAGAATTAGTAGTGATTTTTTTTTAATGCATATGCTTGGGACTCCATGAGTCCCTTGGATATTCCATGAGTCCTCAAGGATCTGTATATTGTAAAGAGCTACAGTGATCTTTTGGACTGGTTTAAAACCTCTTTTCTATTGACTTTGCCATATGTGCAGACACATATACAAATCATAAATGGACAGCCTGATGAGTTATCACAAGGGAATGTAACTACCACCCAAGTAATGAACAGAACATCCTCAGCACTCCAGAAGCCCCATTCGTGTTCCCTTCCAGTCTCTACTTCTGCTTGCTCCCAGCATAACCACTATCCTGACTTTTAGTATTATCAATTCATTTTGCCAACTTGCAAATTTTATATAAATGATATATGTTATTTTATTTCTGGCTTCTTTTTCTCAACATTGTTTTTTTTTTAGATTCATCATCATCCATATTGTTCTATACAGCTATAGTGTTTTTTAATTTTTGTTTCTCTATAGTAATCTACTGGATATAAATACTACATTCAATGACAATAAAATTCATTTATTCATTCTACTACTGATGGACATTTGAGTCATTTCCAGTTTGGGACTATTACAAATAATGCTGCCAAAACAATTCTTGTATGAGTGTTTTGGTGCATGTGTATACACATCCTAGGTATTCCATTGTAGGTATATATATATATATATATACATATATATATATATATACTTATATATATATAACTATATATATTAGGTATATATATATACATATATATAACTATATATATTAGATATATATATACATATATATATATAACTATATATATTAGGTATATATACGTATATACTAGGTATTCCATTTTAGGTGTATATATACATATATATATTAGATATATATATATACCTAAAATGGAATACCTAGGTCATAGGATACGAATATGGTCAGCTTTAGTCGGCACTGCCAAACTGTTTTCCTGGATGAGCCAATGAATACTCCAACAAGTAGTGTGTAAGAGTTGTCCTTGCTGTACAGTCTAACACATGGTATTATAAGTCTTTTTAAATTTACCCATTATGGTCAGTGTGTACTAAGGTCCTATTACGTGGTTTTAATTCAAGTTTCTCTAGTGAATAATGAGCTTAAGCACCATTCATATGTTTATTGGCCATTTTGATATCCTTTGTAAAATATCTGTTCAATTTCCTCACTTAATTTTCTGTTGGATTATCTTTATTGTTACTGATTTATGGGTATTCTTTCTATTCTTGATATAAGTCCTTTGTTGCTTATATGTTGGTTTAGCCTTGTAGTAATAGAAACTGGAAGTAAATGTTAAGCTACTGTGGTGGAAGGATGCTTAAAAATACGAACTTTTAAAGTTTTAGAGATCTCTAAAGCCCTGAAATGCTCTTTTGTGATGATCTCAACATAAAATGCCAGTGTTATTTGAACAGAATAAAATCCATACCAATAAGGTAAACTAAATAAAATTCCTCATTTATGAGAAATTCTAAGGGGACTTTGCAAATTCTGCATCAATAAAACTTTGATTAAGGAGTTAAAGTAAGCACACAGTTAAGCAATAGAAAAAGGTGCAAAAAACTCAATTGTGCTAATATCACATGGTTTTAGGATTTTTAGGATCGCAATTAGTGTCAGCTCAAATATCACCTTATCAGAGATGCCTAAGCAACCAGTCTGCAATTGCACCCTCCTCTTCACTCCCTGCCCCTCATCTTGCCTTTTTTCATGGCACTTCACTAGGAGACGTTTTGTTGTTTAGTCTCCCTCCTTTAGAATGTATGCTCCAGTGAAAGCAGGGGTTGTTTTCATGCTAACCCAACACCTAAAATAGTGTCAGCGCTAGTAGGCACATAAAAAGAACGGAGAAGTATCTGTTGATTTCATTTAATAACATGGGGCTTCCTTCTACCTCTAAAATTCTACGTTATTCTTTTGAGGAATTCCTAACCTCTAGAGTAACCAGGAAAGAAAATTCTCAACTCTTCTAGGAACTGGGCATGGAGAACTTAATCTGTGATGGAGGCCTTAAAAATTCTATGGTAATCCACTGCTCTACGTCTAGTGATTTCCATCCACGACTACATTTTGACATCCACATCAGCACCGTTCCTGTCAAAACCACTACTGATCTTCTAGTTGCTAACTAAAAGTCCATTTTGAAATTTTCCTCTTTCTGAATCTTTTTGTCTTGAAACTCTTATGTTCTCTGGCTTCTATGACACTATTCTCCACCGATTCTCCTGCCACCCTCTGGCTACTATTTCCCAGTCTGCTTCCAGGGTTCTCCCTCCTATTTCTGTCCCTTAAATATTAGTGTTCTTCATTCATACAATAAACATGTATTGAACACCAACTGTATGGCAACTCCTGTTCTAAACATGTCTTCGAATAAGAGAGATATGTAGATAGTATGGTGAAAAAAAAGAGGAACTTTGTCAATGGATGAATAGATAATCAGATTGTGATAGATACATACAATGAAATATTTTTCAGCCATAAAAAGCAACTATGCCCCCCAAAAGGCCAACAAAATACAACAGTATAGATGAACCTCAAAAACATGCTAAGTGAAAGAAGCCAGACACAAAAGGCCATATATTATATGATTCGATTTATATGAAATAGCCAGAATAGGTCAATGAAATCCATAGAAACAATGCAGACTGGTGATTACCATGGGCAGTGGGGAGGAAGAAACAAGGAAAAGTGGCTTAAGGGGTACAGAGTTTCATTATGGATAATGAAACTATTTTGGAACTAGATAGAGATGGTGGTTGCAAAACATTGCGAATGCACTAAACACCATTGAACCATTTTAAAATGGTTAATTTTCTTTTATGTCAATTTTATCTCAAAAACAAACGAGGAGAAACATTAATGATTGGAAATAAATGAACAAATAAGAAAATATTAAGGCCAGTCACGGTGGTTCACACCTATAATCCCAGCACTTTGGGAAGCCGAGGTGGGCAGATCACCTGAGGTCAGGAATTTGAGACCAGCCTGGCCAACATGGTGAAGCCCCGTCTCTACTAAAAATACAAAAATTGGCTGGGCATGGTGGCACATGCCTGTAATCCCACCTACTCAGGAAGCTGAGGCAAGAGAATCGCTTGAACCCGGGAAGTAGAGGTTGCAGTGAGCCAAGATAGCATGAAAACACTCCAGCCCGGGCAATAGAGCAAAACACTGTCTCAAAAAAAAAAAAAAAAAAAAAAAAAAAAAAAAAAAACCCGAAAATAGTAATAAATGCTGCGATGAAAAGAAAAGCAGGTCATGTGATAGGGAGTGATGAATGTATGGGGATTATTTTAGGTTGAGTAGCCAAGAAAATTATCGTTGAGAAAGGGAAATTTCAGGCGAAACCTCAACGACAACAAATCCAGCCTTGCAAAGATCTGGTGGAAGAGAGTTTCAAGTGAGGGAACTATAAGGCAGGAATGAGTTTGGCAGGTATGAGGACCAGCAAGGTTGGGGGGCCTTCCGGAGTTTAGAAGGGAAGACGGAGACTGGAACAAAACGGAACAGAGAAGTCGTCAGGGGAAGTCCAGTATATGAGGACAGTAGGTCACAGGAAGGAGTTTGGATTTTATTTTAAAACAATGGGAAGCCATTGTTAAGTTTTAATTCGGAAAATACTGATCTGTTGACTTCATTTAAAACTACTCTGTTTAATAATAAACAAATGTTTAAATTTTTCGAAAGATCACTTTAACTACTAAGTAAAGAATAAATTATAGAGGGGCAAGGGTAGAAGTGGAGACAGCTGCTCTAAGGCTGTTTCAGCAGTCTAGGCAAGAGATGATGCTGGCTTGGTAGCAATGGAGGTAGAGCAACATATTAGATCCAGGAAATATTCTGGTGGGTAGACCAGATTTGACAATGAATTGTATATGGGCAGTGGGAGAAAGAGTGATCAATGATGACTCCTAGGATTTCAACCTGAGCACTGAGTAGATGCTAATACCACTTTCTGACATGGGAAGACTAAGGAAGAAATAGGGTTAGAGGAGAAATCATGATTTCTAGGTTAGACATATAAGTTTAAAATGTTTACTGGACACCCAAGTGTAGACATTAAATAGGCAATAGGATACGTGAAATCTGATATTAAAGGAAGAGATCAAAGCTGGAAATACAAATATGGGAATAATCTGCATATGACTGGTATTTAAGTCTATAGAACTGGATGAAAATATTTAAGTATAAAAAAGAAATTATCCCATTACAAAGCCTTGGGTCATAATATTTAGTGCCCTAATGGGAATCCTCAAGGAAAGGAGGAAAGTCTGATAATGAAGAGGATGGGGCGTAAGGAGGGTCCACGTCCGTTTGCAGAAACAAAGTCACTGAGAGGTAAGAAGAAATAGGATCCACAGTATAGGAGGAAGGATGAGTTTCTCGAACAGGAGGATGGCCTAAAATTCAGTTTTAGATAAAAATGGATGTGGAATAATGAGGGAGCTCCCCTCTGGCCCCTGGGAGGCTAGGTCACAAGGTAATGAGTAAGAAAGTGAACATACTAGGGAAGTAGAATAGAATCGCCTAGCAGTGTTCACTGACCACTTGATATTTATGGTCATGAAATTTAAAGTGAAACTAGTCCGTGCAGTAATTTACCCCCAACCTGTTGGCTCCAGCATTCAGCTACTCTGGTGTAGTCATGACCCAGGCAAATGGGTCAGCTTAATTAGGGGTGGGTTTTATCAGGTAATTAGGATAGAGACAAGATACAGGGTTGTAGCAGGTAATGAGGATAGAGAAAAGATACAGGGAGCCACAAGTTGTTGAATGGTTATAAAGATGGATGGATCTAACTCTAATAAAAAGAGTTAGAAGGGAAGAGAGAGTATGAGGAAGAGGATGGACAGTGAAAAGGAAAGAGTCTGAATGGGGTCAAAGAAATGCTGGTATGGGAGGACTAGATGAAGCAAGCTGGAAGGATGATGGATAGGTTGCTTTAAATCTCAATTAGTAAACAAGCAGTTCTCATTGATGATAGTATCAAGGACATGCTAGTGGGGGGATGCCTGAGATGAAAGATTCCCCAGGGCTCCATCGTTCAACTTCTTTTTCTTTTACTTGTCTCTCTTGGATAATTTCAGTCAAGCTCATGGCCTTGTCATCTATAACTTCCAAATCTATCTCTCTGATTCAGACCTGTCTTCTGAGTCCTAGACTGATATATCTCACTGTTTACTGGAGTCTGTTTAAATCTCAAGTTACCTCAAATTCATTATTCAAAATGGAATGCATTTTCTTCATTCATAAACTAACTAAAAATTTTCATTGAAAACACAATGGCCCAGAATCTGTGCTAGAATCTGATGAATCAGAAATAAATAAGAGGCCAGGAGCTGTGACTCACATCTACAATCTCAGCACTTTGAGAGGCCAAGGCAGGAAGATCCCTTGAGCCCAAGAGTTCAAGGCCAGCCTGGGCAACTAACGAGGCTCTGTTTCTAAAAAACTTTTTTAAAACAATAGCCAGGTGTGGCGATGTGTGCCTATAGTCCCAGCTACTCAGGAGGCTGACATAGGAGGATCACTCGAGCCCAGGAGTTACAGGTTAGCTGTGGTTGCACCACTGCACTCCAGCCTGAGCAACAGAGCAAGACACTGTCTCAAAAAAAATTTTTTTAAGAAAAAAAGAACTCTTAATGGCTTATTTTACCTTTTTCTCCTTCTCAGTAAATGGCATGAGTGTCACTAATCACTCAGGCCAGAATCTAGGAAGTCATCTGTCTGAGATCAGGTTTCCTAGAGCCTAAGATGAGATTCTTGTGGAAGCAAGTTACCGAAGCAAGCAGGGGAGGGGAGGGGAGGAAACTAAGCAAAGATGTTGTCTCAGCTACAAACTAGTATAGCCTGGTGTCCCGGGGAGCTTGCCACATGAATCACACCATAGCATTGGTTCCCACCAAACAGGAAGTCTGGTATTTTATGTCCTTGTGTCTATCAATCAGTCATTGCCTCAGAGAGGGTAGCAAATGGGCAGAGAGAGGACTGCAGCTTCCCAGGTGAGGCAGGAGCCTCCAGTTCAGTGGAGGGCAGTTCTCCAAAGAAGTCAGCTTGGAGCTGTTAGTAGCCAACACCCACCCAGCTGGAGGAGAGATGCATCAGCCTGGGGAAGGGGATCCCGGTAGGGGACCAAGGACCATGGTCCACCTCTTGCACCACTCAGAACTACCTTCTTCCATAGCTTCCATCCAATGTAGCTTTTCACAATTATTGTGGGCAATAATTTCTGGGAAAACTGATTAGAGGAAAGTTGGTGAGATAAGCCACAGCCCCTAATACTGCAATTGGTCCCTGACACCTATCATTGCCTCACCCATTCTAGATTCCTCTCATCAGCCAACTCTTCTGTTGATCCAGGTGGCTTTTCTTTTGGGGTGAGCCCCTAATTTCTATGCCCTTATTAGGATATGGTTTCTGTATTTGCCAATTACAATTAAAACTGGGCATGAGAGTACCAAAAGATGCCTCAGAGGATCATCTGAGTACCAAACACATTCCTCACTGCCTCTGTTATGCAGTAGCATTCTTACCTCTTCAGGGTGACTTAGGGTCAGCTACCTCTGCCACTATAGGAACTCCATTCTGTGTGTCTGATCTGTTGGCATGAGGTGCTCAAAGTGACCACATGGAGCCAAAGCTCTAAGTGTAGTGGGACTCTTACAGGTCTCTTGGTAGAATTCCACCTCTAAGAACCAGGACCTATAGACCAACAGAACCTAAAGATACATAAACAGAAAGCACAAATTCTCCCAGTGGGTTAACAGAAGTGATAGAGAGTGGAGCCATTCCTACTTCCTCCCTTTTGTTCCCAGATCCATGTATTCTACCCATTGGAAACACAGCACCATAAAACAGCCATTGGTTTAAAGTCTATACCACATCCTGAAGAACGGCACCCCAGCCTCACAGGATATAATCTCCAAGCTGGTGCCTCAGCAGTACCATCAAGAGCTCTATCATGCTAGCATCCTCTGGATAGTGCTGTGTGTGGTTAGGACCAGTGGATACCATGGTCATGGCCCCACTGCCGTACTCTTCTGCTATAAAGTAGGTACCTTTGCTATTAAGCAGGATCTCATGTCTGCAGATCAGTGATTCTGTGGGCCCTAAGATAGTGGTGCAGGCAGGAAAGGCAAATGTGTAGAATGCATATCCATTCTGATAAGGATACAGCATTGCCCTTTCCAAGGTACAAGGGAACTAATGCAGTCACACTGCCACCAAGAGGCTGGTTGGTCTCCTTGAGGGATGATGCCATATCAAGAGCTCAGCTTTGCTTTCTATTGTAAGCAGGTCAGACATTTGACAGCAACAGTAGCTGGATTACCCTTGGTTAAAGGGGAAACCATGGTATTGAGTCAATGCATAATTCCTACTGGGGTAGCCAAAGACAGAGGCTGGATCAAATCATCCTGTCCACTTGCTAGATGCTCTGTCTCAACCAAGATTCAACAGCATGATAGGAATTGTCTTGCAAATAGTATACAGGTTTCTGCTACAGATGGCATAGCCTTGTGCCAGAATCTTAAGGGTCTGCAACAAAACTTTCCCACTGAAACTTGCCAGAGGCTCCGCAAGGCATTTCTCTCTACCAGAGATTCTTCTAGTATGGGATCTGCCAAGTCATTTGACAAAAGTAGCAGGACTGCTTGTACCCTGTCCTGAACCTACTACACAGCTCTTTCTTTCCAGAGTTCTGGGTTTGCTGAAAAAAGTTTTTTTCTGTGTCACCAAATAAATGAATCAGATTATTCAATTATTTGATTCAGGGGTGGAACATTTTCAAAGTGCATAAATTTTTGCTTTACTAGAATGTTCTGAATACCCCATAGCAGTGGACACCTAAAAACAATGTGTTAAGCCCCAATCTTTTATCGGGTTCATCTTGCACTCTCTGGAGTACATGCATTTTTCCATGCCTTTAACATACTTGCTACTTCCTGCTTATCAGGTCTCATTAACATGATGTGTTAATATATGATGTTCCATGCGATAGTCTTTGGAATGTCCAGATGGGCAAAGCCCCTTCAGGATTTATTGTGACAGCTTAACGAACATAACATTGGGGCAAAACCATGGTTGTATATTGTTGGCCACCCCATGTGAATGCTAACTGCTTCCTATCCTCTCTTTTATTCGATAGTAAAAAGAATGCATTTGCCAGATCAGTAGTAGCATACCATCTAACCCAGGCTGTGATAGTCTTCTCTAGTCGAAATACTGTCCCTGACACAACAGCTACAGTTGTGGCTACTAGTTGGAAAGTGTTCAGTACTCCATCATTTGCAGGATCCCTAGTTTTGGCCCGGGCCAGATTGGTGAACAAAATCCACCTATAACAAGGTTCACATTTATACGTTGACTCCCTAAAGTTCCATTCTTCCTACCAAAATGAAAATCAAAGAAGAATATAGTAACCACAGAACTGGAAAATTAAAGTACAGATTTCCCCAATGAAAAAAAGTACTCAATTTCTGTATGTGGCTTTTTAAAATGAAGAATTGTAAAATCATCTGATGTCCTTTATTCCTTAGCCACAGATATTTATTTGTTGTAAATAAGAACTAAACAGGTCACAGACAGTTAAATAGCATTTTCATGTCACCATGAAGGGTTGAATTGGGGCACTCATCACTGATACTTTTCCACTATGACAGGACAAGCAAGATGCATGCCAGCATCACAGCCCTCCCTACTAGGGAGCCACCTCCACCCCTGAGACACATTATGCAGCCAGCCCTTTCACCTGGCTAACGCCAAGCATTGATTTGCCCTGTCAAAACCAATCCTTATTTTATTTTTTTCTATATGAACCTTCTTTGTGCAATTCCACTATAATCTTTACTTTAGCTTTTCGGAGTTGCCTATTTTCAAATGAAAATCAGTGGCTTTGCAAATGATTGCAGCATGTTTTAGGCAGGTTCCATGGTGAGTGCATTGTCCCTGCATTTGCGATTGAACAATATCACACTCATTGCTAGAGCTTTTGAATGTAATGGTGCTGTGATGTCTTCCTCAGTTCTTGAGGATTTCATTAGTGGTGACTGCATTACACTAGTAGTGGGAATTCGGCCCAAGATGTATTCTTTCATTAAGAGCTGCAGTGTTTGACAGTATGTCAGGGATGAAGCATGCCTGGAACAATGAAGACTTTTTGAAGTTCTGTATTCCTCATTCACTTTTCTTTATTTCTCTCTTTAGTGTCCCCCAGATGTGTCCTTCCCAGCATCTTTAGCTGCACAGCATTTCCTTCTAGAAGAAGAGAAACGAGCAAAAGAACTTGAAAAACTTCTAAATACACATATTGATGAACTGCAAAGACACACAGAATTTACTCTTAATAAATACTCCAGGCTAAAACAAAATAGACACATATGAGCTTTTAAATTTTTTTATTTGCTTCCCCCACCCCAAGAAAAAAAAGCTCTGGCAAAATATTTACAAAGCCGATTAATGAAACTGAGAAATTCTATTCTGTTTCCTTAAGTAAATAATTTCTGTAAGGCAGCTAGAAAATAGTAAGTATTTTGTTTGATAAAGCTGTTTGCATTTGTGCATTAACATACTAAATTGTTCTGCTGTAGAGTTACAATAAAATAAACAAGACTATTCCAAAAGAGATTTTTTTTCCAGTCTAAGGACTATTTTGGAATTAAATATGCAGTTTTTCCCCCACTTGAATCATGTATACTGAAAACCCATTTCCTCGGCAACTAAACAAAATAAGGGAAAGGGAAGTGCGTGCTATATTCCAGATACAAACAACTCAAAGGCAGCTCCGCTGTACTTGGTTTGAAAACTCAAGGATTTTCTAAATAAAAATATTTATTTTCAGTTATGTAAACACTCTAAAATTTATTTTTGAAAAGAAAAGATATAGCTTTACTATTTTTACATTCACCTTTATAATGCCTTTCTGTTTCAATACATTGAAGGTTGATGGGATGTGTAATTTACAAATTTAAAATATATGCTTTTTTGTTAGTACTAATTACTTCATGGACATGAACATGATAAAGGAAATATAAAGCATTACTGCTGCTACATTTTCCTTTGTAATCACCTCTGTTTTAAATACAAAAAAAGAATATAAAATTCAATGGACTTGAAGCATAAATGCCAAATCTGTATAGAACAGTAGTAGCATGGCTATGAACAATAAAAATAGAATTTACAAATATACAAGAATATAATATACTTTCTTTAAGTTTTATCTGTGTGTCTGTGTATATATATGTATGTGTCTATATATATATATATATATGAAGAGAAATTATGAAAAAAGGTAAGCCCTACTATACTTTTATGGTTTCCTTTCCCTTTAAAGATACAATCTGAACATACTGAAAGATAAACCAAAATGTCATTAGATAACAGGTGTCATTTTCATGTGAAAAATGCAGAGCATTGTAGACTTCAGGTAACATGACCACATGTATTCCTATAGCTCTTGATGTTTAAAGAAAAGAAAAGATGTACTTGTATAGCTCTTTTTTTTTTTTTTTTTTTTTTTTTTTTTTTTGAGACGGAGTTTCGCTCTTGTTACCCAGGCTGGAGTGCAATGGCGCGATCTCGGCTCACCGCAGCCTCCGCCTCCTGGGTTCAGGCAATTCTCCTGCCTCAGCCTCCTGAGTAGCTGGGATTACAGGCACACGCCACCATGCCCAGCTAATTTTTTGTATTATTAGTAGAGACGGGGTTTCACCATGTTGACCAGGATGGTCTCGATCTCTTGACCTTGTGATCCACCCGCCTCGGCCTCCCAAAGTGCTGGGATTACAGGCTTGAGCCACCGCGCCCGGCCACTTGTATAGCTCTTGAGGTTTGTCTTACTTCAGTCTGTTACAACAAAAATACCGTAGACTGGGTGACTTAAACCACAAACATTTATCTCTCACAGTTCAGAAGGTTGAGAAGTCCAAGACAAAGCGCAGCTAATCTGGTGTCTGACGAGGGCCCACTTCCAGGCTCGTGGACAGACACTGCCTTGCTATATCTTCACATGGCAGAGAGGAAGTATCTCTCTGGTTTCTTCTTTATAAGGCAGTAATCCCAGTCATGAAGGTTCTACCTTCATGACATCATTATCTCCTGAGGCCCCAATTTCCTAATAGCATCACATTGAAGGTTAATATTTCAATATAGTCATGCGTCACTTAACGACAGGGATATATTCTGAGAAATGTATTGCTGGGCAGTTACGTTGTTGTGCAAATATCATAGAGCGCATTTATACAAACCTAGATGGCACAACTACTACACACCTAGGCTACATGGCATAGCCTGTCGCTCCTAGGCTACAAACCTGTGTGGCATGTTATTGTACTGAATGCTGTAGGTAGTTGTAATACACTGATAAGTATTTGTGTATCTAAATATAGAAAATATTGAGTGAAATATGGAATTTTAATATTATGGGAACACCATTATATATTAGGTCCATTGAAATATTATTATACCATGCATGACTATATACATTTTGGGTAGGCACATTCTGTCCACAACACCTTCCCATAGTATTACTCATTTAAACTCAAAATGAGCCTGTGAGGTCAGCAAGCCTAATATCCTTGTCCCTGGGAATCAGAGTTGTTAAGAAACTTACTCAGAATCACAGTAAGCAAGAGAGTCAGAAAGGAAACCCCTGGCCTTCTGATTCCTGGCTCTAGCTCTTATTACTTCCCAGTATCACTTCTTGTAAGCAAGCAGATGGTGAACAAAGCTGCAGCCACAGAAGCCAGGTTTGATGACAAAACATCAGAAGACCCAAAGCCATTAGTGTACTCACAAAAACTCCATGTGGAAAAAGTTATGATACTTTCAAATTATTTAGTAATTGCTAGCCTAGACATCAGGAAAATATTTTTCAGTGTTATCTTTAGAAGATAGGAAGAAGTATGTTTAGGAAAAGGGCGTTCCATAAACAAATTTGAAAACCTTCATATCCCTAATTACAAACAATGAAAAAGATTAAATATACATACCTTTATAATCCCCTATGCCAAAATAACATTTCATTCTCTCAGGGCAAAGATACAATTGAAAGTTCTTTGTTGAAATAAAGATCTAGGCTACAATAGGTCTCAGAACTTAGCAGAGTCAAGACAGCATGAATTTGGACTAGGTCCAGAACTAATGGTGAATTTGCCCCTATGGACTATTAATACTTCAAGTCCACACGCAGACTTCTTTTAAATTATGAGTTCAGTATTCCGCTTGATGTTAACTTTCTTAGAATGGTGGTTTTCAATGTTTTGCTTAACAACAGGATTCAGTGTTCAAAAGGAATCATATGCTGATGTCCAACATCTATGTACTGTAATCAAGATAAAAGGCAAGCAGTGCTGGTTGAATGGTGGAAGGAGGTAGTGAGGCCAGCCTGCCCTCTCCACTGCCTTCTCTTACCCTTCTGTTCTCCGCAGGCCAAAAAGATGGCCATGGAACAGCTGCCCTAGATGTTGTGGAGGGGGCCTGAAGGAGAGGCAGAGTTGCTCGGTTACTACCTTGGCACAGAATACATTTTCCTGCAGAAACCATTTCATGGATACTGGTTATAACCTCCACATCAAAAGCAGGGTTTCAAACAGGGAAGCCTTCAGCAGGGCCAAGCATAGAACTAAGGAGATCCTCAGAGCTACCTCGCTCACTCCAACAACTAGAAATTTTTAGGTCTTAAAGGTGCTCCATACAACAGGACAAGTTAGATCTATTGGAGACAAGGTTCTTCATGTGTTGGCCCTGTGACCTTAACAGAGCTTCCATTTCCGTATCTGTAGAACAGGCTTAACAACACTACCTATGTCAGGGATTCTTGTGAGGATTACAGGATGTAATGCACATAATGTGGATAGCACACAGCTTGGCACAATAAGTACTCAGTACATGCTAGCTGTTAGCATTTGCCATCCTTGCCCTCTGAGGCATTAGGTCTGAACTCAGAAGACAAAGCACATCCTCACAGAATAATACTATCATTTTTTGAGGACCATGTAACAGCCACCATACATAAGTTAAATCATTAACAGTTTCTTAAAAATAATTACACATCATAAAATTCACTCATTTGAAAGGTATATTTCAGTAATTTTTACTAAGTTTACAGAGTTGTGTAGCCATTGCCACAACCCAACTTTAGAACATTTCCTTCACTCCAAAAAAATCCCTACTGCCTGTTTTTAGTCATTCCAGTCCTATGCCCAACCCCAGGCAGCTGCTAAACTACTTTCTGTCTTTACAGATTTACCTGGACATTTTACATAAATAAATTCATATGTGGGTTTTTTATTGTAGCATAATGTTTTCAAGATATGTATTGTAGCATATATTGGTATTGTTTTTTTATTATTGCTCAGTAGTATTCTGTTGCATGAATAAACCATGTTTCATTTATCCATTTCACCAGTTGATGGACATCTGAATTGCTTCCAGTTTAGGGCTATTATGAATAAAGAATACACAAGTCTCTGTGGGGACATATGTTTTCATATCTATTGAATCATTTTTTAGGAGTAGAATTTCTGAGTTACATGGTATATTTATGTTTAACTTAAAGAAATTTTCAGTGTGTATCTGTGTATAAAAGAGTTATTTCATCCCGGTTTTAATTGTCATTTCTCTAGTGGCTAACGATATTGAGCATCATCTTGGGTGCTTACTGACCAACCACATCTATTCTTCAGTAAAATGTCTATTTAAATCTTTTGCCAATTTTATAATTGGGTTATTTCTCTTGTTGGGTTATAAAAATTCTATATTAGATATAAGTCCTTTAACAGATATAAGATTTGCATATATTTTCTCCCAGTCTGTGACTTGTCTTTTCATTTTCTTAAGTGTCTTTTGAAGCAAGAAAGTTATAAATCTTGATAAAGTACTGTTCATTAGTTTTATGAATCATGCTTTTTGCATCATATTTAAGAAATACTTGCCCAATCCAAGTCACAAAGTTTTCATTTATATTTTATTCTAAAAGTGTTACAGTTTTAAGTTTTACATTAGATCTACAATCCATTCTGAGTTAACATTTTTGCATGGTGGTAGGGTCTAGATTCATCTTTTTAAATGTGGATATCTAACTGTCCCAGCACCATATGTTTAAAAAAACTAGCCGGGTGCGGTGGCTCAGGCCTGTAATCCTAGCACTTTGGGAGGCCGAGGCGGGTGGATCATGAGGTCAAGAGATCGAGACCATCCTGGTCAACATGGTGAAACCCCGTCTCTACTAAAAATACAAAAAATTAGCTGGGCATGGTGGCGCGTGCCTGTAATCCCAGCTACTCAGGAGGCTGAGACAGGAGAATTGCCTGAACCCAGGAGGCGGAGGTTGCGGTGAGCCGAGATCGCGCCATTGCACTCCAGCCTGGGTAATAAGAGCGAAA